TTTGTATACTTTTGGGCATTTGCTGTATTAGGGAAAAATGAACCTTACTTAAAAGCATTTAAGAACACTTGTTCTTAAATGTCATGATCAGGCTTTGATATTATAGTCTGTTATTCAAAATCTGTAAACAAACTATCAGTTAGGCACAGATTATACTTGTATTTTTGTGGAAGTGAGGTAAATTGTGTGCGACTGATTCAATCCAATTTGAAGCCCAACCTTCTGTCTCCTGGGAGGATATCTAAAGAAGGTACTGCATAGTGAGTTCCATGTTATGCTGTAGTGCAAGTGTTGTTCTCGTCTTTGTTTTTAAATTAAGAATAAATTATCGTTTTCAAGTATTTCCTAGTCTCCATAATTTTAAAGTAGCTTTTATTGCTGTGTGACTCCAGGTAAATGATGCAGGTGTTCCAAGTTTAGGAATTGGCATATGTTAGGGACACAAGTAATTTTGAATTTAGCAGATGGCTCTTTGAAAACTACTTTGTAATTGTTACGGAAGAGTAGAATGCATAGGAGAAAACGCTAGGGCTTTCATAATGTTTTGTGTCTAGAAACAAGAATAATGTTTCAACTACTTTTCTGTTTATCTTATTGTTATGCTGGAGAATGCACTGGCCTCATCTGAACTTCTGTTAAAGTAAAGCAGCAAGTTAATATCTCAGCCTGTGTAAATACAGATGCTATGAGCTCTTCAGGTTAAATGCTGTTTAAGAAAAAAGAATGGGTAGAGATGGTCTGCAAGTACAACAAAGTCCGTCCCCATTCTGATTGTTGTATTTAAAAAGCAATTGGCATTACTGTCTTTTATATAGCATTTGTATTCTATTTCCAGAGGCCAGAGATTATTGCACTAGGTTGGGATATATCACTTTAAATATGCTTTTCTGGAACTGCTTGAGTAGATAAGAAATCTGCTAACTGATGTTATACTTGCTATATTGTACATTATCAATGTTATACTTCATTGTTGTCTGGTCAGCACGTTTGAAGAAGTACTAGTGTTTTATATATGGGACCTGAGTTTAACCTCTATTGAAGATGCTTTGAGGGGAGGAAGTGGGGAAAACAGCTTCCTGCTTTGTTCAAGGGAGTAAAGTGGTGTGGCTTTTTTGGGGGGTTGGGGGAGAGGGGAGGTAGTATTTATTTATTTAATCCATGTAGACTGTGGTATTGAATGTGCATAAAGTTCATGTTTGTTCCTCCTAATGTTATATAATAGCTAAGAAGAATTTTGCCACATTTTTCTTTTTCTTTGTACAGACACAGTAACAGAACTGTCAGTGTTTTATAGTTTTTGGCACTTTTTAAGAAAGAGAATGTATTTTGAGCTTTATCAGTCTGTTGGGGAGGAAAAGTTGTACACGAGCTGTTGGTTATTTTTCATTCAGTAGTTTCAAGTGCTTGAAACTGAGATGCTGATCTCCAAAAACTGATGGAATAACAAAGGATGTTTGGTTTTGGTTTCACGCTTATAGGTTGATTTTTAGTTTAGCTGTGCTTGCAATTTATTTTGTAAAAGGGGAAAAAATGAGTTTAAGTTTCTAAAGCCATTTGGCATTTTTTGCATTTTCTCAGTTTTTGTTGTGGTGGTGGTGCAGAGGTCAGAGTTTGAGGCTTCTTGCATACCCTGCTCACTCATGGAAGTTCTCACTTTTTTTTTGCTGAAATTTTGTTAAGGTAGATATGATGAACGATGCTGTTCAGATCAATGCAAACTCCCTAGAAGCATTATTGTGTTTTACTGTTGCAGGCAGCAGTGCATTTGAGGAAGGTGATGGTTGTTGCTCTTGATTAAGGTCTGCTGTTTTCCCTTCCTTGTGCATATGAAATAAGAAGGCACAGGTGATGATAAATGTCTAGAAGACATAAGATTAGGCAAGCTGAAGTCTTATTTTCATTTTTTCCCTTGGAAATACTTGTGTGCCAGCACAAATTTTTAAATACTACACAGACCTAGTTTCAGCTGTTTTCCTGGTAGAAGCAACATCTCTTCCAGGTAGCTCGAACATCTGGATTGCTTACAACCTCTGATGCTAACAGGAGGAGAGAGCTGTAATTTCTTGGTTCTCTGCAGATTGGACACTCCTATTTTGCAGTTTCTTGAAAAGCAGCACAGAAATACTTTCTCTCAGATTAGTAGTCCCAATTTATAGTTGGTGTAATACAAAATAGCTAGGGTCACTTTTTGAGGGGCCCAGAATAATTGGTTCTGTACTACAGCTGAGGAAACATTCCTCTAAATCAACAGTCAGAAAATAGCAGAGGTAAAGGAGTGATCAGAGGGCATTAGCGTTGAGGAAAGGTGTAATTGCATCACTGGTTTCTGAAGGCAGTGGGTTCCTTGTCCTGTGGCACTAGTAAAGGCAATTTTTCTCAAGAGACTCATTTGAGAAACTGAAAAGGTCTTAGGCCTAGATGGAAATACCCACTCTGCTCTGGTAAAAACACAGTTTGAATTTTGAGTATATTTCTAGTACTCTGAAATGAGATTCTAAAAGATAAAACCTTGTAGTAAAGATTTAAAGAACAAGCAGGTTTTGTGGCCATGGTCCAATGTACATGCTTTGGGATTCACTTACTTTTCTTAGTCCCTCTTCATGCTAACTAAGGAAAAGAGAATTCAAATAACCCATTTTTAAGTTTGAGTTATCTTGGTCAAATTACTATATGTTTGGTGCCAAGCCCTCCTCTGAATTTTATCTTGCAAGTCCTTCTCCACTACAAATGGGAGTCTTTTCAATTGAACTTTGTTAGTTTGTAAATGGAGAGCTTTTTGTAATTCTTGGGAGGAGAAAATGTTGAACCAGTGAAACAAATGTAGTTCTCACGTGCAGGTGGTTGGCTGTATTCCAAAGTTTTGGTATGACAGAGATATGCAGTTGTTTTTTCTTTTCCCATGAATCCTCTTAGGTGATCTTGATCTGCCTTGTGAGTTAACTCATTTCCATATCAGTTATGTAAAAACTGAACCCACATCAATTTAATGCTCATGATCTATGCATCTTCCACTTGCAATATTTGTGTTCAATGAAGTTCTTCCTGCACAAGCCCTGCAAAGACTTGCTTTTTGCATTAGTGACCCTTGTGTTTCTCCTGTTTATGATTTTTGTGGTTCCCCCTATTTAATTGATCAGCAGCCACCCAGCCTCACTAGTTGTGTCGATAGTGGAGTGCAAAAGGCTGTGTTTCAGTAACGAGATGGTTGGTGAAATTAGGAAAATAGTGCATGACTACTGTGTTCTTGACAGCATTTAGTAACACTCAGTTCCTCATGTACCATATTTAGTTTGTGGTGTTGATTATTGTTATATTATTAATATACCTAATACTGTTACTGAAGCAAAAGAACCAAATTGTTACTAAAAATCTTCTGTACCAAGCTGTACCAAGCTTCAGTAAGGAAAGGGGGCAAATTTGGGTATCAGTAACCTGGAAAGCTTCATTCCCCATTTTATTCTTATGAAATCCAATTTTGTGAGGTAGGTAGCATGGAAACACCACTTCTAGCAGTCGGCTAAGACTATTAGGATTTTTCTTTCTTTTGAAGTATCATCTTATTAAGTCTTTTGGGTCAATAATTATGAAAAAGGCCCTAATCTAGTGTGTTGTACATATCTTAAATGCAGGTGCTTACACTTTGATTTCCTGCAGCATTAGTTTTAATCCCTATCCCTGAAGTTTCTGGAAATGATCTGCTGTACCATGTCTCCTATGCTTACCAATGGCGTAAAATGTGCTGAACTGGAGCATCTAATTGCTGCTCAAAAAGTAAAGTTCAGTTCAGTCTTGCATAGTAGGCAGCATTATAGCAGCTACTCTGTGAATATAATACATCAACTTGAATGTAATTGAGATAAAAATGCTCTTTTAAACACCCCCTCAAAAAAGTTCATGTGGTGAAAGGTACATATGCTGTTACTTTATCAGGTTTGAGGTTGTTTGGATTTTTAGTTGTGTTTTCCAATTCAGGATGTTAGAGGAGTTCTGATTTTTTTTTTTTTTCAGGTATGAAAATTTAGACGTAGCAACAGTGTTTTTTGAACTATTTTTTGAACCTTATGATAGCAGACCTCTTTTACTTCTAACTTTATGTATTTTTTTTCATGTTCTGCCTCTTACACTTTCATAAGTCTTTCATAGGGGGGAACCCCAAACACCAAGCCTCCACCTGTGTGATACCTTTGACTTCAAACCTGATAAGGTATAGTTACATTTTAACTTCTTGTCAGCTGCAACTAGGAAATGAAGCCCAGTGAACCAGCAAAACGCTGTAATTTACTGTAAGCTTCACTTGTGTCTGTTGGAGACTTTTGACCTTATTGCTACCTTTGCTGATACCTTACTTTTCCAGTAGTCAGAGTTAATCTGATCAGATTGATTCAGTGGGATTCCTCAAGTTGTATTCAAATACAACTCTAGTTGTACTTGAAGTTCTGGACAGCAGCTGCATTTTAAAGTTCGTTATTGCTCATTATGTGCCACCAAAACTCTTGAGCACCTCGAGTGGGTTTTCATGTGCGTCCCACCCCCTGGGTTCTTTCCGAACACCCTGCCAGCTGAAGTGACAGGATCTTCCTGAAGCTTGGACAGCCAAGTCAGTTTTCAACTTAATTTTATGTCCTCCATTAAGCAGCTGGGCTGTTGGGTGGTGTGTTGGGATGGGAAGGGGGAGATTCAGTCTGGTGGGGTGGAGAAGGAAGCTGTGGTTGTATGTGCTTGCTCAGAAGGCAGCAAGCAGGGAAGCCTGTAAACTGAATGGATTATGTATCTATGAAAGTATGTTTTGCTTAAGATAGTGAGCTAAAATGTCAGCATACTCCAGGGTGGATTTCTCTTTGGGTATTCTTTCAGTTTTATGGAGGGTAATATGTCATGGATTTGATTTTGTTGAAGTGCTGTTCACAGTGAGTGTACTTGGGGGGAGGAGTTAAAAGGACAACTGACACACACTTTGTGGATGTAAGGTTTGGCATGAATTGATTTAAACTACTGCTTACCTTTTCTAAAAAAGGGCAAAAAGAAGAGAAAAAAGTGAACAGTACAATTTATTGATGTAGGTAGGATGAAAGGCCATATGTTTCTGCTGCTCAGAAAGCAATATTGACTTGCCCTAATTGTCCGAAGAGGTAAAAACGATGCTCACTTGATGCACTGCACTGTCAATTGCACTAACTGCAGAAAACAGTTGATATTTTTGTGAAAGAGTTACGAAATTTAACAGTTAAAATTCAGTCAGAATTTTATCTACCTTTAAACATTTCCATTTGTAACTGGTCAAATCTTTAAAACACTTGACTTGCTTTTTCAAGGAATTTTGTAATATGTTCCCAATTTATATATAAACATCAGCTTGCATTCTATTTGCAGAAGTTTATATAATTTCTTTGCTTGTCTCAGAAGTCCCACTTTTAAGCTTTCTTTCATATCTTAAAATCTTCAGGATGTGGCTTTTTACTTTTAGATTGCACTTATGTGGGTCTCTCTTTTGTATTTTTGGAAACACTAATTAAGAAGTAGAACAAATTGTACATAAAAGAATTGGTGATGATTGAATGGTTCACACATCCTTAAAGGAAACTAGTACATTTGTATTGCATCAGAGCACTGATAAAGTCATGTTGGATGTACCAGGCTTTTTTTACATACCTGGAATTGTTCAGGCTATGAATTTTAAAAAGAAGAAAAAAAATTTTCCCATATAAACTAGCTGATCTGATGTGGTGGATTACTGCTGCACGTTGAAACTTGAGTAGTGAAAAGTGCTTGATCTGCCTTCAGGGTGGAATTAAAAATACTAAAGTGCTTTTGCTATAGTTTGGTGCTATAGGAGAGCAAAACCAGACTGCTGCTTAGGCAAGTTGTGGCAAGTATGTCACTTGCATACATACTTCTGTTGTGAAGGAATCTCCAGAAGTTCTCAAGGCTTTGTTAGGGAGACACAGCTGAAATATTATTTGTTTCTTTTTCTAACCACATCCTTGTGCTAACTGAGCAGAGAAAAAAAAAAAGTACAAACCAAGAAAAATCGCAAAAGAACTATGTAAAAGGACTAATATAAAAAAAATTATTTAGGATGACTTGCATCTGAGAGTGATTATAAATACGATTAATAAAAATGTTTGTAATTAAAGTGCAACTAGAATGAAAATAAATAATGGACACACAGAATATGCTGAGCGTGGGAAAGTGTTATTTTGATGTCAATTTTAATTTTTCTTTTATGGGGAAGAAATCATTAAGAATCATTAGCTTCTGAACAGAACAGCAATTCTGAAGACACATGTAACAGATTTTTATTGTGTATAAGTTTTCAATGAAAAATTCAGAATTCTAAAGCATTTGGAAAATGTTGACTTCTCTATGGAGTAAATATCTAAGGTTTGACTGTTTTTTTTTCACTTTCTTTTCAGAGTTCTGTACTTCATTTGTTTGTACTGTGTTTGGAGACCTTTCTCCAGTATTTGCCTACATACCAGCCCACTTGTAGCTGTTTACCTCTAGTTGTCTGCTATCACATCTCTAAGCACCGGTTGGACTCCGGGAAAATGTCTTGATGGATCCATCCTAAGTGTGATATGCGAACAGCTCTCCTCAGTGGTTAACAATGGCTTCTAAGTGGTAAGATCTTTTCCACAATACTGTCATAAATAGATTTTCACGTACCTTTTCCCGTTTTTGCTTAGGTCTTTGTTATCTAGATTGCACTGTTAAGACACTTTGAACTACTGCTTCAGATATCGATTACCTGAATAGAAGACTGTCTGTATTTTGTTAAATCAAATAATATTTGATTTAACACAGTGTAGTAAGTGACCTTGGCCAAAAGTGAATGTCTAAGGAAGAGGTTAAGAACAGGGCAAATAGCCTCCCAGTCATCTGCAGCCTGGGGACTTCCAAAGCCAGTGTGGTTTCTGAACATTTAGTAAATCTCGAATTGTACACTTAGTAATTGTTTTGTATAATTTCTGTATGTTCAACAATTCTCTCAGGTTTCTTTCACGAGCTTCAGTGCTCGGAGCGAATCGGAATCAGCGGGAGCAGAGCCCTCCCTCCTTTGGGATGTGCGGGCGGGCGTCTGCACTCTGCTCCCTTGTGGGTGAAGCCCGGTACTGCAGTTCATTAGCAAAGGCAGCCATAGAATCATGGAAAGGTTTGGGTTGGAAGGGACCTTAAAGATCACCCAGTCCCTTAGTCAGCGTTCTAATTCCTAAGTCAATGCCTTATATAGATGCTTTTTTCTTTGCTGCTTTTCACATAAGGATTCCAGTAGGAAATAGATATGCACTGATGTCAAGCACAGGGCAACTATTGACGATTAAAGCACTTTTGAGCTGAAATGAGTATGGATAGATCCAACCAACATCCAAACTGTCCATCAGAAGTAATGTAATGCACTGCTCTTCTATAGGCAAATAGTAAAACTGATAGACTGTACTTCTTTTTGGCCTTTGAGAACAGAGAGTACGTTGATGTGGCAGGAGGAAAATATTGATGTGCAGTAGTTTATATGGTGTTTGCTACGTGGACTTCAGTATTCAAGACATTTTTAAATTAATTATATATTTTATATTATTACTTTATAGAATGTAATAGAATATTTTATGTTCTATTATCATCTAGTTGTCATTAGTAATTAGAATATTATACATTCTATAATATTTTCTCATAGCTCTGGCTTTCCTTTATTTTGTAGTGTTGTATGTGTTCTTTACAGGAGAAGTATATAATAAAATAGAATCTGAATATATGTTAAGATCTGCCATTGAATCATCTCCAGTGTATCATATATATTGTTTGCCTCTGTCACTGATTTTCATTTCTAATTATATAACATGCTGACTTGCTTCACTGTAGTTTGTTAGAATTTTATACCGTAATTATTTTTGTTCTGATGTATGTATTCTTTCTCTCACAAGTTAATAAATTTGTTGCATGGAAGTTTACTTTGAACCTCCATATCTTTCTATTGCTCAAGGCAGGCAAATACATTTTTTTAGCATTAGAGTAGGGACTCCAAATCTATCTTTTAAATGAAATAGAAAAATGGAGACAGAGAGTTTGAGGACAGTATAATTTTTTACTGTAAGCTGTTCTCCTGTGGAGGCTTATCATGCTTTGGACAACTCTAGTTCTACCTCACTTTAAAAGTTTTTAGAGATTATTTGTGTTTCTACGTGTCTGTATGTTTATATAGAAAATGTGCTCCAGTTACAAACATCAAATATTTAAGGTTGAATTATGTAGGTTTTCCTTATTGGGAACAAGGCTGTTCAGTGCTAATCTAGTTTTTGGAATACTTCTCAGTAATTATTGTACTTTCTGTACTTCCTGCTAAACGTTTAAAAGGCAATCAGGTAGTAGGTTTAAAACACATATTATTAGCATTGGGTCCATAGCTTTTGTATCTATTGTCTGTCTTCTGTATTAAAAGCCTACTGTGTTTTGTGTGGGCAATAAACATGTTTGGGGGTTTTTTGGTGTGGCATTTTTTTTTCCCCTCCTGCTTCAGCAAGAAGTAAAGACAAGGCATCTGTCAGGGTGTATTTTCCTGTCAAAGAATGCAGAGCAAGTTTTATCTCAAGTGCTTTCCTTCAAAAATATGTGTGATAAGGAAAAATAGTATATAGCTGGGAAAATGTGCCAACTGCCATTCTTCTGTGTTGCTCATTTACTCCCTGGAATTAGTTCCCTAATCAGCCTCGTTGCTCAGGACTTTGTCGAGTCAGATCTTGAAAACCTTACATACCTTCTCTGTAAAATTGTCTGGAGCATCCATTATGCTAAAAAGCATATTTCTATCTGTAAATGCAATTGCTGAACAGTATTCAGAACAATTAATGTGCCTGTCAATACTTGACAAGCATTTTTGCAAGTGTAGCACATAAGTTTGGGTAATTTTTTTCCAGCATAAGTAAGGAAATAAAGGACCATCAAGAGTAGAAAAGTGTGGTGGGGTTTTTTATTTATTTATTTATTTTAAATTTTCCTTGTTCTTATTCTTTCTTTTTCTTCTCCTTAAATAATCATTTAGGATTAAAGCAGTACTTGGTACTCATGACCCTGGTCAGCAGTTTCATTAGCTATGTCTATTTAAATTGTAAAATGGATATTTCAAAACTAAATGGAAACATTTAAGTTCTTTGCTTATTACAAAGTTTCTATTAAGGTATAGCTCAGTGGGATTCAGTGACTTTTAAGAGGGCTTTTTGTGGGCTTTTTTTCCCCCACCTCCTGCTTCATGTGGACATTAGTTCTCACTCTGAAGCCTGAATAGAGAGGGATGTTTCTGCTGAAGAGCTTTGAAGACCATACCTAATTGTAGTGACAAATGACTTGCAGAATGCCTCACTCAATGCCTTGTTTTTCAAATAATCTGGAACATCTGAGACACATCTACCAAAAAAACCTCCAGAAGATGAAAATACTAATAGGGACACAGAAGACCTGCTTAATCTGTGAAGTGGGAAAGCTGTGTGTGTCAGACCAGAGGAGAAAAAATCTGTTGAACCTGTCTGGTAGAATTTACCTTTGGCAGGATTCTTAGGACTTTGTGCTACTTCTGTCTAGAAGGTCATGGGTTTTGTTTTTGTTTTTTGTTTGTTTGGGGCTCTTCTAGGCAACATTCAACATGCATAAAATTTCTGTTTTCAACATTTTTTAAAGCTTTTTCTTTTTGAACTTTTTGGTGTGAAGAAACAGCTAGGTATCTTGACAATGAATGATAAATTTTAATTTGATAAATATTTGTTACCATATTTTTTTTAATGTAATCCACTTCTATATTAAACATAATATACAAGGCATTTCCAGTGGTGTTTTTTAACACCTAAAATGAAATACATTTGGCCTTCAAAGGGGCTAGACCTGTTGTGGATTTCTTTTAGGAGTCTCTCTATGCATCAGCAGGGAGGTGGTGGAGAAAGAAACTCTGTATGCTAAGTAATTTTGCTTTTGGTTAACATTGCACTATTACAGCTCTTTATATCTATCTATATATAGAGA